CCAGCCAATCGCAGCGAAGTTCCCCAGCCGGCCCAGCCAATGGCGAAGAGGACCCCCTTCGCCCCACCTCCCGGTCCGCCGGCTTCCTTCAATCCCGCTTATTTTCCCACTTGGAGCGCACTCCTTGCGGTCACGGCCAATCGCAGGCGCCGGGAGGCGGGATTTCCGCCGCACGCACGCGCGCACGCACGCGCGTACGTACTCCGATTCCGGACTTCGCCCATCTTTCCGGAAAAACCCTCCTGGGCGCTGCGACTGGCAGAGCCTGGGGCGCGCGGGACCTGGGCGCTCGTGGGCGGCGCGGCGGGTAAGCCGGGCGCCCTTAGGGGTGAGGACGCCCCCGGGAGGCTGGCGCGCAGGTTCAAGGGCGCCCTCCTGTCTGTCGCAGCGAATGCAGCCGAAACCCTGGGCAGAACCCTCCGAGCGTCTGGTAATGGGAGGAAAGCAGGACTTTTAGTACCAGGGAGCCTGTGGCCGTAAAGCAGACGTCAGGAAATCTGTAGCACAAGTATGTTCTCTGATTCGCATGGAGTTAAATTACAAAGAAGTAAAAACTAACAGGACCGCGCGGCCGTCCCGTGCACCAGCGGGCTCACCCCCAGCAGGGGGCGCACGAGGCAGCCCAGGGAGGGTCCTCTCTTTTCTCCCTGAACGTCAGCAACTTGTTTGAAAGTAAGTAACAGGACAACCGCGGAACTCTGGAAAATCAAAGGACGTAACTCCAGATGGGCCAAGACCAACTCTCAAGGGGAAGTGGGAGTAGTTTGAATCGAACAAAAATTCAAATGTAACATCAAAATGTGTGCGATGGCTCCTCCCCAAAGCGGCCAGAGGTGACCTCTGGAAATGGTTCCCTGTTCACCGTGACCCGGAAAACCCCGCAAAATCATGCAAATCAGGAGGATCAAGTCTTTGTGTTGCTTTACGACCCCGGGTGGAACTGCCCAGGCCGTCAAGGGTCCGCACATTTGAAAAGCCACGTACTTGAAGGACGTCACTTTCCAGAAGCAGTGTGTGCCCTCCCCTCGTTACAACGGTGGCGTTGGTAGGTGGGCCCAGGCCGAACGGTGGGGCTGGACACAGGGTCGGTGGCCCAAAAAGAGTGCCGAATTTTTGCTGTACGTGCTTAAAAACGCAGAGAGCGATGCTGAACCTAAGGGTTTAGATGTAGGTTCTCTGGTCATTGAGCAAAGCTCCGGAGATGCAGCGTAGAACTTACAGAGCTCTTGGGCGTACTGACCCATGCATGAGCTCTCCCTGCCATATTGAGATGCTCCTACTGAAAAACAGCAGGTTGTTCCTAAACCAGAAAGAGGCAGTTGCACAGAAGGAAAGATAGACCGGAAGAAACTGAAAACACAAGTTTATAGCCTGGGAGCAAATTCAACATAAATACTAATAAAGGTAAAAAGTAAGTAAATAAATTTGTGCCCAGAGGGCATGACTCGGTTCTTGAGCATGGACCTAGGATCCAGGAGATCGAGGTTCGATTCCTGCTCAGGGCACATGCCTGGGTTGTGGGCTCGATCCTCAGTAGGGGACGTGCAGGAGGCAGGCAATCAATGACTCTCATCATTGATGTTTCCATCTCTCTCCCTCCCTCTCGCTTCCTCTCTGAAGTCAATAAAGACATATTTTTTTAAAAATTGTGTGATGCAACTAAAGCAGTGATTTAAGTGAAATTTATGACATTAACTGCTTACCTTAGAAGAGAGCCATCTAAAATCTAAGCTTCCATTTTAAGAAACTGGAAAATAATAAAGTAACACCGATTCTATACAAACTCTTTGAGCCTGCAACCCAGGCCTGTACCCTGATCAGGAATCAAACCAGCAACCCCTAGGTGCACAGGGCGACACCAACCAACCAAGCTACAGGGGTCAGGGCTAACCTTAGTTTCTGTATCCATGGGGTGGGAATATCACTAGCTACCTTTTGGAACGTTTGGCCAGAGATAATGTTTGCAAGATGACAGGCGAACAGGAAGTGCTCAATAGCCAACAGTAGTCCCAGCACAGTTTCCCTTCCTTTCCAGGCACATGGGAAGGTTGTACTTTCCGTTGCAGAGGCAAAGTCCAACGGTTACCCATATTGAACATGTAGCTTGACCAAGAAATAAATTTTTGTGTTTTTTAGTTACTGAGATTCAAGATTTGTTTGTTACTACAGCATATCTCCACCTATCCTGGTAATAACACTTTTCAGAAGAAGCCAGATACATGGAGAGGTAATGGCATAATTAAGGAAGCACTGTTTTGCAAACCCAAATCCCATTGACTCAGGCAACTGATGCAAAAGCCATTAGGTAAGCAGTTGATGTGGAACTGGGCATTCCTACAGCCACACAACCCAGACGGCTTTATAGTCACTGTTAAGGTTTTCTATCTCAATTGCCGAGTGACATCATCCTAGTGCAGTGGCCAGTCTTTGCACCAGTAGGCCAACTAGGTATTTTGAGTCTTCTGACACAATTTGAAATAAACAATATTATCCATGATGCATATTGGACATACTGGAAATGTGCTCTAAATATAGCCTCATCTTAAAAGCTCTAGAATATCGCCAGGGTCAAAGTAGAAACAGAGCTAAACTGATGATAGAGTCTGAAAGCCTATCCAACACAGAAGTCATTGCTTATACTCAGAACCGGGACACCTGGGTCTATCAAGGAGATGACACGTAGCCTTGCTGCCAGGGAATAGAGGCTTGAGCAACACTGCAGTCAAACAGACTGAACATTCAGCCCAACAACAGGCATGCACGTATTCCTCCCACGTGCATATGGCACGATCCCCAGGAGAGACCATAAGTAGGTCATAAAACAAGCACCAATAAATTAAAAGGATTAAAATGAAACAAGGTAAGTTCCACCCCATTGAAGTTACAAATTGGCAACAAAGAAATTTGGTAAATTCACTCATATGTAGAACTTTACAAAAACATTCTCAATAAACGAATGGGCCAAAGAATTTGCAAGCCTTTTGCTAGACTGACCAACAGGAGAAGAGAGAGGGCACAAATTAGTAATGAAACGGAACATTACTACCAGCCTCACAGGATTAAGAGAGATGACTGGGGAATAAATGCTAGGAACAACTGCATACCGAAAAACTAGATAACCTACACGGAACGGAGAAACTCCAAGAAAGACACAAAACTGAAACTGACCCAAGGAGAAGTAGAAAATCTGAATAGACCTTGAAAAAGTGAAGAGATTGAATTAGTATCCAAAAAACTTCCCATAGAGAAAAACTCAGGACCAGGTGGCTTCGTTGGTGACGTCTCACAAAAATTTAAAGGATTAACACCAATACTTCTTAAACTCTCTCAAAAAACAGAAGAGGAGGGAGTACTTCCCAACTCATTCTATGAGTCCAGTTTCACCCTGATACCAAAACCAGACAGAAACATCACACAGAAACCAATATATATTCCTTATGAGTATAGATGCAAAAAAATCTCAGCGAAGTACCAGCAAAACAATCCCAGCTGCGTGTGAAAAGCATTAGACACCCAGAGCTAGTGGAATTATTCTAGCTGTACAAGGTGGTTTCAATCAATCAAGGTAAACCACCATATTGATAGGGGAAAAATGAAACACGTGATCATCTCAGTACAGTCAGAGCATTTGACAAAACCTAACATCTATTCATGATTGTTAAAAAGAAAACCAACCAACTAGAAGTAGAAGGAAAAGACAACCAACATCACAATGTTGAAAGACAGAAAGCTTTACCCCTGAGATCAGGAATAAGAAGGGATTTCTGCCCCTGCTACTCAACAAATTCAGCAGGAGCTTCTAGCTAGAGCTGTATTTGCAGATGACATGAGCTTTACATGGAAGATCTTAAAAATCTGTTAAAGCCCGGCTGGGCGTGGCTCGGCGGTTGAGCATCANGAATAAATTGCCCCAGCCAGTGTGGCTCAGTTGGTTGGGCATCAACCAAGGAGAGGTTGCCGGTTCTATTCCTGGTTGGGGCATGTGCCCAGGTTGTGGTCTCCATCTCCGGGGGGGGGGGGAGCATGCAGGAGGCAGCCGATCAATGACTCATCATTGATGTTTCTATCTCTCCCTCTCCTTTCCTTTCCCTGAAATCAATAGAGACGTATTTTTTTTTTTAAAAAAAGAATCTATTAACTTCTTAGAGCCCGGCTGGTGTGGCTTAGCTGTTGAGCATCGGCCTATGATCCGGAAGATGGAGGT